ACCTGACAGCCGAGAACTCTCCTCCAACTTCAAGACTTCTCAGGGCGTCCTTCACACTCCCATTCATCTGCCAATTCATTCTCCCTCTTTTTCTAGAGAACAGTCTCTTTTGATGGAAGCAGTGGCAGATTAAACACTCAATAAACTAAGAAGGGAGAGGAGGATATGCCACAGAAAAGGGCACAAACAACAGTGCAAAGCCAGGATTCAGATCATCTTTAAAGCACTGGACCCTCAAGTGGACACATCACACCAAATGAAAAGTCACGATCAGTATGGATTAAAATGCTTCTCATCTCCATCTTTGTTAGCCATTCTACATTTATTTTATTTTTTTCTCTCCATTTATTAATGTAGCAAAAAATGGCACATATTTTCTGGCACAAATTATCTCCTTAATGCTAATCGTAATCTAATTAATGCTTAATCTTTCACACAAGTCATTTTCTCAAATGTATTTTATACAAGCTGCTGTAAAGCCACAAACAATTGTTGACAAAAATCTCTTCCAGTTTGTGTATTTCCATTATGTATATAGGAAAAAATACTATATATATATATAAAATAAGTCAGAACATAATCCTAATCTAACATGTAATTTTAAGTTAATGCAGCTAAACCAAAGCCACTTGTCCTCTGGGTAAAAAGCACCTGCTTTATGTGGGTACACTCAGCGCAACTAAAAAATACTTAGAATTCCACATCATAATTTGAATAGAGCCCGTGTTATTTCTTTTTTTTCTCATATGGGAGAAGAAAATTCCTTTGAAAATTATTTGAAGCATGGGCATTCCACAGCTGTATTGCCCAGGATCATTCTGTGGCCTTCAGGATTCGGATGATACAAGGGAAGCTTCACTGGAGCCATTTAGAGAACCACCCAGCTTGCAGGTCTCTTCAGTCAGGAGGACGCTGGCAGCAATCAAAGTGTGGAGCCCAGCTGCTGTTTCTTCACATGGTAGTTCTCCCACATGCCCACTTCTGCTGCTACCATCTGCTCTCCTGTGTTCCAAGTCCATATTCACAAGCCGACCTGACTCGGAACATTCCACTTGAATTCTGACTGTTTCCTGAAAATCAAAGCCAGAGTTCTAAGCAAGGATCTTGGCAATAATATGTAGTGCATCAGCAAGTGCTTGGACTCCACGCAGGTCCTGCTCTTGACACTGGGCTTGTATTTAATCAGGGCTACTGCTCCAGTACCTGGAGCCACACAGCCGCCATGGACAGCATTTTTCACAGCCCTCAAGCCTCCTCTTATTCTTTGAGCTGAGTGACAGTGTGCTTCTTTGGTCCTTTGACCAATAATGTGACACTGTGGGGATGTTACTTTTCTCAATAAAGGTGAACTCTTCTCCCAGTACATGCTCATAAGCCAGTCCTGCATGTCCGTCAGGATTTAGGTCAACAGAAACGATTTAGAGCTACCTCACCACAAGCAAGTCAGCCTCTCCATATTTTCCTTAGGCTCT